TCTTTGTCCTTTAACAAAAACTGTCAATCCCTTTGCCATATCCCAGCGAGAAACAATCTCTGTACTATAAACCCCCAACAGGGAGACAGGCTGGAGTGTCTGTGCAATTAATGAACTGTTTTCTGCTTAAATCTTGTCTTGCTGTTCTTTCTTTTCCTGCCTTAGTTTTGTTACCTGGAGTAATCCTACTGTTGTCATGACGACCCTGTCTGCTTTTCTCTTGTTTCAAGACAGTCCCCACACTGTATTTTATCTGCATTCACCTCTGGGGGAAGGCTCTGCAACCCTTGGACCATGCTTTGGAGATTACTTAATGAATTCAGTAGTGGTATTTTTAATCTGGAATTTGACATTATACTGATACTTCAGACTGGGGTTTCTGCAGATATTTTAAAAATGGGATTTAGATACAAATATGAAAGTTTGTTTCAGCCACCTTTCATGATTGGGAAATGGATATTGACTTTGCTGTTATCATGACTGGGAAATTTGGGGTGATGATTTATTTGTCAAGAAGTGACATGGAAAAGCTGGTTTCCATCTCTTACAGCGTAACTCTGGATTTGAGAGATCTTCAGTGCAATGGCTCATCCATGTCATTTGTTCATTTCACTGTGATAGGAAAATGTTTCCTTCTTGCTTTTCCAGGAAAACAGAATATTTACATCCCAAGAAGGCTGGGATTCTCTTACCTTTTGTAAAGCTATTTCAACTACCCACAGAAAATGGTTTTCCAAGAACTTCGAACAAGATACTTTGGGATGTGATTACCACCATTTCACCCACCCCCAGCCTCTTTGCTTTTTATGAATTTCTGGTCTGAGAAATGGAAAATCTTCCCTTCTTGCATTTGTGTGTGCAATACTCTTCTCACCCTGTGGAGCTTCTCTAAGCCCATGCTAACTTGTGTTTGTTGTGGCTTAAAACTGTCCAGTGATGTTTACTTGGTCAATGATAAGCTAAGAAAAAAAAAAGTTCAAACCAATGAAATTCTTCAGCACCTTCCCCCTTACTCCCACTCCTTTCCACAACAGGGACAGATACACAAAATGCTTTATTTCTTCCTCCATCTCCAGTCTCTGTCTTGTATTTATTTTAAGGCAGAGCAGTGTAATCCCAGTTTATAAAACTAATGCAAGCAACAAGCTTTTGGTGGGAGGGAGACTGGTAGCATCTGTGGAAGTCACTCAAAGGCAGCCAAACTGCATCACTTGGTTCCACAGGTTACAGGCTTGAAACAGTTTTCTTTCATTTTACTGTCCTGGCTGTCATCTCTTTGAAACCCCGTGGCACTCAGAAATGTGGTTTGTTGACTTCTCTGGCTTTCTGTGACTGGAGATCTGCAGTGCAGCCTTTTTTCTACCGAGCTGGCCAGACTGGTGTAGGATGACCTATTTCTTCCGAATAACTCCAGGGCTGAATAATCCGCAGTTCTCACTCTCCCCCAACAGGTTTGCTGGCTGATCGCCACTGCCAAGTGCTTCAGGACTTCGCAGTATGGGGAGCACTTTGAGAGCTTTCCAGCTACTTCTGCCCGTAATTTAAATCTGCCTAATCATGTTTCAGGTGTCCTTCCTAACCTTTACTTCCATGGGCTTGTACTGAAACTTTAAAAGTGTTATGTTCTAGTTCTGTCTCAGCATTGCACTGTGCTGAAATCAGCTGGTGTGCTTGGTCCCATGGGCAGCTTCTCTTGCACAGCCAGGTTTTGCAAAGGAAGGCAAGTTGAAAACCAGAGGCAAGATTTCTGGCAGTTTCCTTGAGTGAAGAGGTGTGCTGGAGATGCCACGAGTGGAATGTATGAAGGCAGTCATGTCGGGTCTGTGATGGACTTAGTGTGGGTCAAGCTTGCTTTTGAGGTGATTAGTTTCCTCCACTTTCAGACTGTGAACATACGTCCTAGTATACAGGAAATTCCTTGCTGTACTGGGGACACAAGACACTCAGGTAAAATAGCAGTCCCTTCAACCCAGGTATCTTTTGGTACTGGCGATAACGGTTTGAGGGTCCTTTATATTACTTCCCTGTGCAATTTTAGTCCATTTTATTATTTAAACCTTGAGGTAGTGACAAAAAGGGTCAGAGATGCTACAGAAGAGCCAGTGGCAAGAATGAAATTCCCATTAAGGTAAAGAGCAACAACCAGTGAAGCTGGCATAGAGGTATGAAACAAAGCTCCTTGGAAATGAGTTGCGTGAAGCAAATCTGATTTTTAAGCTGATCAGAGGGGGATTTGCTTCCTGGAATGGATTTTGCTTGGCTGCATACAGGAAACCAGAGGTAAAATCTGATCAGAATGATGGTAAGAGAAGTGTCAGGCAAGTAGATCAGCTGGAGGATGGTTGTGTAGTTTAAAATAAATTAGAATAGTATATGTAGGACACTCAAGAGGTAGAGATGGTCTTGGCCTGAGGAACACCATTTGGCCAATACCTGTGAAAGATACAGTACAGAAAGGCTTCAGGAAAGTAGATTTAGGACTGAGATGGTGATCTGTAATTGAAGAATGAATTGGAAAGTGTTTGTTTTTAAATACGTCCTATTGGGCCTCTTGTTTCTTTGCTTGCTGTCCTCTAAGCAACTATGTTTTCTTAAATGGCAAAGTCGTTAGCTGTTTGCCCGAGGCTTGGATGTTACAGATGGAGTAGCAGAAGGCCAGTAAAGGAGATACTGGTGCCACAAGTTTGTTGCTGAGAGGGGTGAGGAGATAGTGTTGCTCTTTATAATTTGAGACTGATCCAACCGATTCTTCCCTGCTAACTTCCTATTGCTGGCAATAGGAAATATTCCTAAAAATTCTAGTTTACAGAACAAGGAGAGCGTAAATGTGTTACCTTTTGTTGCACCTTGTGAATATGTTTCACCACAGGCTGTCCATTGGGCCAGGTGGAGAAATACAGAATGGTAACTGCCTGGGAAGTGAAGAGGCTTGTGGGAGGAGGTAATAAACTTGAGTCTATCCCTCTTACTGGTTTGTGATCCCTCTTACTGGTTTGTGTGGGTGTTAGCATAGGCACAACCAGGTATCTGCATTAAGGCAAGTTGTTTAACATAAAGCCTGAAAAAATAATTTGGACCTACCTATCCTCTTTACATACATTTTGTCCCCTACAACCCAACATTCCTGGTCAAAATGAGAACGATTGTTGGGGTTTTTCTTTCCATCTTGTAAATAGTATTACTTTGCCTGTGGGACCCCTGGGTTCATTCTTGGGCTGTCTTGAACTGGTGCAACAGGAAGGGCTGTAGCCTGAGAGGGCAGCAATCTCTTTTGGTTTTATTTCCTGCTGCAGGCAGGTAACCCCTTCCTCCTCTGCATCCCTCAGTAGCACCCAGGAGCTGTGCGTATGGGAGTCTGCGTTTCTTCCACCTCCTCTCTCAGGTTGTCCTCTCCTTTCCACGGGACCTCCCAGGCGATGGTTGGGGCAGGCCTTACAGCAGCCCCCTCTCCAGTCCCCCATTTTGCAGACTTCGTCACGACTCAGAGGTATTGGGATGTTTCTTTCCGGGAGTAGAAACATACAAACTTAATTTTTTTAAAAGAAAGAATATGTATATAATTATATATAAGAAAAAATGAAATACAGGTATTTAAACAGCATTGGTAAATTCATGCATGTATATGGTGTCTCCCCCCACCCCACCTCGTTGGATGTGTAGCATCCAGGATACTAAATGACAAAAACCTCATTAAAACAATAGACAGGTCTTCTAGCGGGCCCTGAGTGAGCAGGTGCTTCCTTCTCCGGATAAGACCAGCATGTCCCGTATTTCAGATTGTGTGTGTAAATAACATGGGGGCGGCTGGGACTGTATTGGTATGGGTAACCCGCTGTAAAGCGTGGAGGGGGAGATGCATGGGGCGGCAGCATTAGGAATAAGCCATGTCCACTCCGCATGTCTTACCTGCGCCCTGGGCACCAGGCAGGCAACTCTTTACCTGTGTTCTCCAACACTACCCTTTTCCTTCACCCGTTTAAAAAAAAAAAAACAAAACAAAACAAAAATCCCCCCTTGCTTTATTTATAAATGTGTGTTTTTATACTTTTGGCTTTAGGTAAAATAATCCCTTAAACGGTCTTTTTTTTTTTTTTAATTATTTGGGAAAAAAAAATAATAAAAATCGTTTGTTGGGTTTTTTTGCACTGTGAGGCTCCCCCCCCCGGGGAGCTGTTTTTAACTCTGTATTCATTTGTACTCCGTGTCTTAAACTGTTTCAATAAAAATGTGATCATTTGTTACCCAGCCTGCGGCTGAAGCTGCGCGACCCACTCGCCAACAGGGCCCGCCATTTTACTGTCCTGACCCGGGGGGGGAGGCGGAGGCAGGAGGCGGGCGGCACCTCCTCCTCCGGGGCCGGGCTGGGGCCCGCTCCTCTCCGCCCGGGGCCCGGCTGCCGGGGACATGGCGGAGG